TCTTTTCAATTTCATACCAATATTCTGCCAAAAAACATTTGGTGCATTTCCGAAACACCTCATAACTTAAAATACACTTCTTGTATAATAGTAGATAGGTTTCACTAGTTGAAGTTACTTCACTGAAATCAAAATGAAATTATAGAAGTCTATTTAACTCAGATTTAAGCGCAAGAGGTCTTCATTTGAAAACCGACCAAAAGCACCTGAGTGGGAGGTTGCTGAAAGCATTTTGCTTCCAGTGTTAGACTTTAACTTGATGTTGCTGTCAGTTACAAAATATGGCGCCTCTCAGATTTATCTTACTTGCTCCTTCGTCCGAAGTGGGTATCTATGCCGAGGAAATGGGTAAGCAAAGTATTCTTAGAATCTCGTGCTGTTCTGATCAGTTTACTCTTTATGGGCAAAGCACCATTCGTTTCTAAAAGAATTTAGAGGTTGCACCACTTAGTAATCGATCTTCCTTACTTACAAACGATGGTTTACTTCCTTCGCAAAGAGCAAGCACCATCCGTCATGTCGACTCCTTCAAATCCGTTGTATTCAGTGGAAAATGACAAGATCACACTTTAGCGGACATTCACTCCTGATGGTACTCCTCTGGATGAAGTAGTAGTAATTTTCACCCCTGATTCCCCCTCGTTTTCTGCACAAAGAGTTACGAGGTATAGGAGTTGAGGCACAACTCAAGTGGCTGATGACTTCCAAGATGGATTCGTTGTGATTTTTAACAAACAGCCAATTAGCAGTGCCAATCCTTCGCTCGCAAAGATCAGACAACACATCGAATGAATTGAATGTGTCCCGATGACGTGAAATTAACTCCCATTAAATACGTGGTCGAGATTTCAGTTTTTCCCTATTTTCTCTTAGGGACTTCTAATAATAATAGCAGTAATAATAACAATGATAATAATAATGATGATGAAATATGAGAGTGATCTTCGCAGTAATGAACACTGCTTAAGCAGTAGTAAAAATAGGACCTAAGAAACATTCAAGTTTTTTTTTAAAAAAACCACATATAACCCCCCTCCCCTTTTCAGGATAACCACCACATTTCATTGAAGTTCTGTAGTCCTTTTATTTTTTTAATTGTATTCCAGTTTTTCCAATTTTTGGAAATTGAACTACACACTTGTCTCTCAAAATCAAAATAAAAAGTAGATTTAATTTGCAATTTTTATGGAATTCTACAGTAGAAAATTTTTGCATCCCCCCTCCCCCCTTGGTCGCCCCATAACCCACACACCCCTGCATCCCTCCACTTAACATTCCCTCTCGTAACCAGAGTTCATCTGAGGCGTCTCTCTGACCTTAGATTTACTTTTGCCAACACCGTAGCTGTAATACATAACAAAGCTAGTTGTTGTTTCCACTTCGTGTTTGTGCAGTTGCTTCTCGGCTGATTTTACATCCGGCACAAAACTTAGAGATGTTTTTAGATGACATGGTTCGAAGATATATGAAGAAGCTGATATCGAGATTGAGGAAAATTACTCTCTAAAAAATGTATTCAAATCGACTTTCCGGCACTTCTTGGTATGTACTGACTGAGTTTGCGCGTCTGGATTGCGTTATTATTTCACTTGTAATCCGCTTGACTTCCGTTTCCGGCCCCAGGAATATGGGTACTCTTGTGTATCCCCACAGGGGATAGATCAGCGCTACCCGACCTTGATTATATTTAGTAGCCCTGAAAAAAGAATCCACGGTTGATAAACGAGAAAGAGGAGTTGAAAACTGTCTGTTACAAGTTATTTTATATTTGCGTGACTTTCATTTAGCTTGATACGTTAGCGTGATCGATATCGATGCCAATGTTCTCATTCGACACATTCGCAAGTTTCACGCATAGTTCAATCTGAATGGAACGTTTCTCCGGAAGAAAATGTTTTACAATTCATAGAAATTTCCTTGGTGTTTAGCATAAATCGAGTTTTCTTCCATAAATCGCACCATCCGCCACGTTGTTTAGACAATTTTGCCGACTAAGACCGTCAATTTCACGAAGATGATCGTGACACTCGGTCCCAGTCTCAAAACGAAGAAAGGCTTAATCGTTTATTCCTTCAAGTGACTTCCGCAGGATTTTGGCACAACCTTCCTCATTGAAACATCAGAAAAGGTCTGATAGAATGGTGTACTTCCGCGATTATGAAATTCACTTACTCTTTCTTCTACTGGTAAAGTTTCACGGGTCAGGTAAGTGTGAAATTTATTCGCCCGAACAAAGGATTTTACTGTGTTTTTTTAATTACCATGTCCCATTTAAGCTTTGACATCGAAAACGCCGACCCTTTATTTCTGAACGTGGTTTTCGTCAAAATGATTTCCAAACTCCAAGGTGGCTTTCAACAGTTTTTGTATTTCAAAATTTAGGTATGATGTTGGGATCTCTATCGCGTGATAAATGACGTCTGAATAACTACGACGCGATAGAAATCAAGAGCAAAGGATTTTGTGCTTGAGTGTAACAATACCATACCTTCAGAATTTCACATCAACTTTAAAACTGAAAAGTGCAATGTTTTCTTAAGTAGTATGAGTCGTCTTCTTAGCCATGAGAAAAGTTACTGCTTTGTCTGGAGGCTTTCCATTGCAAACATGATGGCTTAACGCAAACCCAGAAGAGAGTTACTAATTCTGTACATTAACTCTCTTCCTTGCCATCCATTGCTCATTATTGAGAAGAACTGTTACGAATTTTTCCACTCATAATTAGTTCAAATAATGACCTCAGCTAGGATAATAACTGCTAGCTAGGTTGAGTTTGTATTTTTCTCCAGGCAGCAATCATGTAAAGAAACTACATAAATTGCTCTTGGATGGATAAATAAGCATTGTTTGCTCACATGTACACCTACATGTATGATTTTTCTACTTCACCAATTTTTAGCTTCATGCACATATGATAGGGGCATCCCACACTGGTAGTTGTGGATGACTTATTTTTGTTGTATATTTAAAGGGTTAAAGTTTTCCCAGGACTTTTTGAAATGTGTGTGAAGATATGTTTGCTTATCATATACATACTGAGATTTACTCCAAGCTAAATTAACTGAAAAAAAAAGATTTGTAATAACTGCACAAATTTGGATAGGTAGGATGGTTTTTCTCACGATTGAGAAATGAGCATTTGATAAATCACAAGTTGTAGATGAAATTTTTGATTAGTGAAAATAATAGTATGGTTTTTTTTGCCTTTGTGGTGAAGTGAATGTTAGCAAGGTTTGCTGGTTGTAGACAACTGTGGAATCATGACCTCAAGCTTAAAAACAAGAAGTCAGCCATTGGTGTATAAACAAGCTAGATTCATCTATGAAGATAGTGTCGGAGAAAGCTGGACTTCATGAAAATTGGTGAAAATCATTCTGATTTTGCCTCATGCAAACTGATCACAATCTTTGTCTAAATTTATGCTTTGATCAGTCGCTTACATTTGCAATTCAAGGAACTAAAGTGGAATCTCCTCCAAAATGTTACAAAAGACTTAAATTTCTAGATTCTTACTCAGATAAGAAAGCATTACAATCCACCTTCGTAATTTGATTCATGCTCATGTGAATGAGCATGAATCAAATTTATGTTCCAAATTGGCATCATAATTCTCATGGTATTAACAAATGCTTTTCAATTAACTAATTTGTTCCTTGTTTTTGTCATTACTTTGTTCCCAGCAGTAATATCAATGTAGCTCTATTTTTGCATATAAAACACACACAAACCATTTCCTCAAATTACATTATGTTTAGTTTGCTTGTATGGTTTTTATCCAATCATAGTCTAGACAAGAATTTGCTTGTCCCTGGCATGTTTTTTTATTTTTCTCAACTTGTGAATAGAAATTGCATGCACTCATTAACTAAGAGGCATCTATATTTCTTACATGTCCAAACCATATATAACCATTTTTGGAACTTAATCATACCAGTTAAAATATCATATTAAACTTAGTAATGCACTTGAACTAAAATTATTGTTGTTGTAAGTGGAAACAGACCTTCTGATTAAATAAACCATCATTTATAGTTACTTTAAGTTTGAGAAGTTAGATGCTACCATTTAATGGTTTGTGGTCCCAAGGTGTTTGAACCAAACAGCTTGACTCAGGCTTCCAATATGTGGTAGTGAAAAAAAGCAAGAGCAAATTTGGCTTTGAGGAAAAATCAAGGATTTTACCAAATCCAGTTTTTTTCGGCAGAAGTACTTTACTTAAGAAGTACAGTTAGTTCCCGTCTTGCTGTCCTGCAGATAAGTTGGACATCAGAATGCTTAATGATACAAAGGTACAAAAAAAAGTTGAATTTTCATCTTTCACTTGCATAAAGCTTTACAGCACAGTGTAAGAAAAATTCTAATTTTTTCAGTAAGAAATAAAGGTTTGAACTGTTAGTTAATTAACCATTCAATGCTATTAAAGCACATTTGGTTGCTGTTTTTGTATTTTTCATGACAGCTGCTTCTTTTATTGAAATTATATTTTCATAGCTTACCACAGCAAAGCAGGAAGCCATTTTGTTGTTGTGCGATGCTTTGAGCTGAGGTGAATAGCTGGTGGCACGAAAAGCACTTAAACAAATCCACCATAATTTTCCAATGCCTATACTTAAAAAATAGATTCCATGTTGCTGAGCATCTGTTCAGTAAGGGATCACATATGACATCACAATTTTGCAAGAGCAAAAGAGTGGCACATGAGATGCAGCGTAGCTTGTTCCAGATGTCAGTTATTAACGTGGAGCAGAATAGAAAATGACATGACAGTAGCAAAGGAGTGAAAAAGTGAGGGAGACTACAGCACTGTTTACTGTCGTGCTATGTTTTACTCACTGAATGCCTAGAACAAGCTAGAGGCAGTTGAGTGTGTCCCTGATATTCTTAGTACATTTTGACATCCTCTGTAATTTAGAACTGTACAGAGCGACAGCAACATGGAATCTATTTGTTTTATTTAATGATCAAGCAAAAATTGTTAAGGGACTGAGAATATTATGTTTATGGTTGTCTATTTAGGGGGTGTAGATGTGCGTTTCACCCAGGAACCTTCTAACCCAAGCTATTTTAAGAATGGTAGTGATGCCAACCTGGTGTGGGACTACACTGATCCACATAACGAAATTCAGTACATTACCTATAGTGTTCTGGTAGATGGCACATTTGTCAGAATGATTTTTAATGACAGTGGTGGTGTTCAAGAACATCCTAAAATTCCTCCATCTTACAAAGGAAGAGTTAAAATTGAAGGAAGAGCTACCCTGGTTATCAAGAACATTAACCCTGGAGACAATACCGAATTTGAATGTGAATTGATTGGAGACTTTTTGTATGTGGTACAAAGCACAGTGCAACTTATTGTGGCAGGTATGTATGACAAAAGAAAGTCATCAATAGTCAAACATAAATGAAATGCATTCAACTCATGTCTGTCATATTTCTGAGGTCTGGAGAAAGTAATCAATAGCATAAATATGCACAAACCTTTATATGCTGGGCTGAAAGTAGCTAGCTAACCCAACTTTTAGGAAAAATAGTGCTACTTTTACTTGGCAAAAACTGCAAAACTGGCAGCACTCCTAAAAGGAGAAACAAAATTCTACCATTTACTTTGCTGTCTCTCAAGAGTTAGAAATCAAAGTGTTATCAGAGAGTTATTTCTTTATTCTTCTGGCACCTACTACTGGGTTACTCTGTTATGCATAGATAACTATAATATTAGTATGAGTACTAAGATTTTCTTCAAGTAAAGCTGTCGATGGTCAGTCAAAACTAGAAACAATCTGACTGGTTGCATGATAAATCAATGAAGGAAAATATTGCATGACCAATCACAGGCAGCATGTGAAATTAATTTGGTGTAAAAATCATATCGCTTTTCAAGCCTTTTAAAGAGACTCGCCAGAGGGAATGAAAGTCAGCATTGCATCATTTGCAGCTTTCTGAGGATTAATATGATGATCTTCAAGGTTTGCAGATGTAAATTTCATTAACAGATTGGTGACTTCCTTAAGTAATTTCTGACATTAAGGAGCAAGTCAAAACAAAATTTTTTAAAGTTATGAAAACAATTAACCAATGAAGTCTGCAATCCAAGCTCTTTATCCTCTGTGAAAGACACTGAGCATGGAAACAGAAAATAATTCGATGATGATCAATGTGGTCTGGCAGGAATGTTGTTTTTAGGAGATGTTGTTTTCATGGAGGTCAGTTCAACACCTTTGTTTTTGTTGCTGACTTTAGTTTCCCCACTGAGAAACTGGCTGAATTCCACAAAAGCAACAAGAGACCAAAAAAGTATTCCATTTCAATTTACGGTATGAAACGTTTTAGGGAGCTTACGTGTATGTGACCATCCTGGCTCATGAATGAAAATTGTTTGCACTTACCAGCCATTACATAATCTTCTTTCTTTCATTTATTTTATTTATGCAGTTGCTATGTTGTGTTGGCTTATTTTAATTGTAATGTGATACCTGTCACATTACTTCTCTTTCCAAATTGTATTATGATAGAAAGATACCAGGTTATTATGGCTCAAAAGGGGGCAGAACGAATCATCATTTGCATTTGGTGTGTGTAGCCCAAAGCCAATCCATGTCTCATATTTCACTTGTAGAAAAAAAAATCAAGTGCCAGACAACCTTTGGTTTTTTTGTTTTGTTTTGTTTTGCTTTACCATAAGAAGGCAATTCTTATTCATGTATCACTGCCATCTTTGGAACAGATTTGCCAAAGTTTTTTAACATGGTTCTTGTGTACCCTCTCGATCAAGACAGACCTAATTCAACCCTAAAATGAAAAGGTACTGTAAATATGCCAAAGAATACTTGAATCTCAATAAATTGGTTATTTAAGTCTTAAAGGCTACTTCTTGATCCTTAATAGCAATGGGAATTAAGCTGTAAATTGGAAACCAAAGGTTCTGAATGAAGTGAAGCTTTGTGACATCTGGTCAAATCCACCCCTGGCATATATCATTTGCAAGTATTATATATCTACAAAGTACTGTTTAGCGTTTTATTTAAAAAAATTAAAATTACTTTTCCTGGTAAAAAGAGGCATAATCAAGGAAACTTCACCTCCCACTTTGGCTCATGCCTTCTCTTTTAGTGACTGGTGGGATACTCGGCTGGAGCTGGGGGTGGGGGCGGGGAATTTGTTTTGTTGTTTCTTGTTTCTTCGGTAGTTTTCGTTATTTTCTCGTCCTTTAGTCCTTTCCTGTTTAAGGTTCTGAGGTCAAGCGACTCTAAATAAAGAGGAAAATGTGTATTTGTGAAAAACTTTAATTTAAATTATTTTTGGGACATGATGCATTCTCGAAGCTTTACGGAGGTCTGTAGAGGTGACCCCAATTTCCTGATGTCACTGTGAACTCTGAAAGATTCTAGTCAAATATTATGTCTATTATGGACTCAGGAAAAACCAATAGCTCCATTCAATTTTCAAAATCTTAAAGGGAGGCAGCTGTTTGCACACACTTATAAGGCAAAACGCATGATAATGGTCTTCCAACTAAATGTAGCTTGTGATATCTCGCACTGAGAGCCCTTAGCTATCATTACATTTGATTGAAAGGCTGGTGTATCCATTAATGATAATTTCATGTAGCATCAGCTTTATTTGCATGAAAGCTGTTTTGGATTGTGGTATAGATCTATTGTACACTTCCACATGATGAAACCAGTTGTGCTATGTAACTCTCTTAAGGCTCTTGTACCTGACAGATTTTTGGGCAGAGCTAGAACCTTTAAGTCTCGAGTATAGGTCATTATAAATCTAAACAAAATTACTTAGAATTCTATAATGATTGCTGGTTTATTCAATAACTCCTTCCAAGATTTTGTAGTATTATCAACTGGATGACAAGCTACATCAGGACCCCAATTCTTGTATTGTTTAGTAACTGTGGATCAAGTTGGCGTATACTTACACTAACGATATCTTTGTTACAACTTCAGTTGGAAGCTCTCCAAATTGTTGCCTCTTAAATTCTAAACAAAGTTTAATAGGGCCTAATACAGTTGAGTGGGAGATGGAGATATTTGAAGATGCACAACTAGTATTATTCATCTTTAGATAGGACTTTTCGAACAAGCCGCTCCATTCTCAAGGAATCTATATACAGTTTCCTCAACCTTTAACATTTGCACAAAGCATAGTGCTACTCACTATTAAAAATCAAGTTTTTTAGTCTGTCGTTAAATTAGATTTCCTCCTTTCACCAATACTCTCTCAGCTACTCTGGCTGGCAAGGAATGTTCTGCATTTCTTACTCAAACCTTTTTTTGCAACAAGAATATTACTTCCAGCACAAAGATGAATCAAGTAGTGTTTTTGATGTCGCCTTTCCACTTTCTGCTTCAACAGCTCCTTTCCCACCTTCTCTTGTAGTTTCTTGATGAACACCAGCATCTCTTGATGGTCTGGAAGACAGTTTCTTTGCTAATGTCAAACGAGCTCAAATCTTGTGTCGATTAATACTTAGAACTGCTTTGCGTAGATTTAAGCCGCCTTTTCCCTCTCCAGTTTTTCTCACCCAATATTCTGGGTACTGTCTGTTTTCTGCATTTCACCAAAACTAAGACTGGACCATATGGTTTAAACATTTGATTGTTTGCTTGCCTATTCATTTGCTTGCAAGTGCCTCTGTTTGCCTCACATCACTTAAGTTTTAAGGACCAACTCAAATTATCTCGATCAATAAAACAAGTTTTAGCTCAAATTGTTTACATTGGTCTCCATTCAGTCCATTCTTAATGCAGGAAAGTAAATTCGTTTTCTTTGCATTTGAAATGGGCTCAAGAAAGTTTTATTTGCGGGTTTAATTTCTTCGAACTGCGGAGGAAAAGTCCAAAACTCTCCCTTCTGTAACTCCCTTTGCAGAACAATCATGACGAAAAATCAATTGATTTAATGTTTGACAAAGGAATGATCAGTAAAAGGAGATGAGTAAGGTCTTTTAACTTTAAGTAATGGGCAAGCCGCATTCAGCATGCCACTGGTATATTCTTTTTATTGCGAAGAAGCCATAGTTTCTCTTTCATTAAAATTTCAGTTTTCTGGTTTGAGGATGTCTTCTGTAGATTCTTTGTCAGACCAAGTTCCAAGTGGGGTGTGGCTTGATTGGCTCTGTTCCTATTTGTTTGAGCAGGGGCAAAAATTTTATCCACTAAAATGGAAGTAGCTTAGAAACCAGGGTCCTTAGCCTAAAGAGTGACTTCCTGAATCAGCCCATAATTCCCTAGACTGGGGCTTTGCTTTATAATTTTTCTTGTGAGCAAGTTCTTCAGTAGCTAATGCCAACAGGTTAACTTGTGTTGAATGAAGTTTGAGCTCCCTTATTCTAGGTGGTTGTTGGGGACCAACTGCTGGCTGCTTTTGTCTGTTTTATTGAAATTGGGTAAATATTAATTTTAAGTAAGATTTGCTACGCTATACGAGGAATGATATAATCTCTTTTTACCTTTCAGAGGCACTACTTATAAACATCTCTTTAAGAGGAAAATATCACATTGAGGGATCCCCTGTCACCATGGCCTGTGAAGCTTCTGGGAAACCACCGCCGGATGTGGCATGGATTAAAAATGGAGTACTGGAAAGTTCAGGGAAGAAAGCTACGTTTTTAAAGTTCGATAACATAAACAGAAGAGATGCAGGACAATATACATGTCGAGCCAATAACTCAGTGGAATTCACTTCTATTGATACATCAATTGTAGTTCAGTGTAAGTACATTTTAACCGTAGTTTTCTATTTCTGAATCTACCCTATTTACAGTGCGAATCCTGTTATTGGGGTCAGTTACCCCGAACTGAAAAATCTGTTCAAAGGTGACAGGAAACAGAATTCCACATCAAATCTTTTTCGGCTTTGTATTCAGTGATCCCAATTATTGGCTGGGGCAATTGAATTTACGTGGAATCATTGCTCATTTTATGTTACTCAGGAGGATGCGACATTTTTTGCCAAGTCATTGCTTTAGCTGGACTGTGTTTAACTCAGAAAATGGCTTAAAATCATTTCCGAATCATTGTGACAATCCAAAATTCGCTCCGTTTGACTAGCGCACAAGGCTAGCGGATATTCTGATTCTGTGTGAGGGCTCTGGTTGGGGCTTAATGGTGTGACGATAGGTTTTCTCGCCCAAACTGGGAAACTGAATCTTAGCGGACGGCACAATAACAACTGGGGGAAATAACTTGGTAGAGACGACTCGGCAGCGAGAACGGAAACTTGTCACGATTTCCTAGTACACGGAGATCTACTTCGAGCAAGCTTATACGGACGTCAAGGATAAGACAATCTTTGGTTCCACAGTACTTTTATTCTAGGTCAGGCCAACAAGCGACATGACCCCTAGCATACTCTAGTTTGTAATCATCGAAGCTGTACAAGGTACTTGCTTAAGAACTAACTGGTGTGAGGTGCTATTGTTACAAAAATCGTAATATTTGAATAAGGACACAAAGGAGCGGAAAAAGTCTCTTTGAAGTTAAATGAAAACTACTTAAATATTCCATCTGTTTCTACGACAGAAAGAATCTCAAAATTAAAAAGACGGATGCAATAAACTCTATGCCATTAAAGTAGGAAACCTAGGTGCGAATTTACAGCTCTGGTATAGAAAACAATACCTATCTTAATTGCAGTAGCGCAGCTCAGGAAATAAAAACGGAAAAGCAATTAAAAGTTTCTGCTTATCTATGCAAGATTGGTTTGGAAACCATCACATGAAAAGAAATTAAATTTACGCGTATAAACTCAGCTGCTATCTACGATGAAAACCAATGTTTCCAGAAAGACCATTAACACTTATATTTACCTAAAAAAAAACCATGTAATAAATGACAAAAGTGCCGACAAGCAGGTGCATGTGATGAAAGCGAGTAACAACAAAAATCTATTCTAAAAGCTACTGTGGTTTTTATACATTTTTTGATTTTTTTTTTAAATGAAAGGACTTGAAATGGTTAAATGTGAAAGTTTACGAATAAATATGTTCCGAATAACACACACGGGAAAAGTCAGTAAATTTTCCCGTAACAATGGAAAGCTGAGAATTGGTCAAAATTCTTTCAGCTGAGAAATTACAGTTTTTACTTATAGCTGGGATCAGCTAATAGGCGCGAAAATCGGCTTAAACTAAAACTGCATACCTAAGATTTGCGCACATATTTGCATGTGTGACATTCGATATATTATTTCAGGGCGAGAATCCATTTTATATTTAATTATTCGTAAGCCTTGCCACCTTATACTACATACTCGACTGCCAAATAACACAAAAGTGACGGAGTGCATTATGGAGTGATTACAAGCTTCACTTTTTTTCTCATTTAAAGACAGGGAAAGGAACGACAAAGCCTGCACTTGAGTAATTGATTTATATGACTTTCTGGTTTTGTAGGTTGTGTAACCTGCAAGCACTATGCCGCCCCCCTATGAGAGATATCTAATTGTTTCGACGTTCACATTTCCTCAGATATTGGACCCCTGTTGTTCAATACAACGCAAGTTTATTGGGGTCCACATCTCACCCCTTCATCATTCGTTATTTCATTTTAGTGGCTCACAGCCAATTTGATTCACTCATGGGTCTATTTCAGGTAAAAAAAAAAAAACCAAAAAAAAAAAAAAAACAAACAAAAACGACGTAAATGCCCAGAATGGCATTTCGCCCAAGCCATTGGGATTGCAGCATTAGGATTTGCTACTCTCACCAATCACATTGTGGCATTAGGTTTTTCAAAAGAAAGATGTGAAGTTATTGCTGATGGAGTGAAGTGAACCTGTTACATTCTAGTGGAAACTGGTTGCTTATCTTGATACAAGTAGTTCAAATTATTGAGACAGAATTTCCAATTTCCAATTTACAAAAAACATTTACAACAGAATTTGAGAACATCAGGGAAATTATACTAATAACAGCACTCATCCGCCTCAGGCCCAGTGAAGATTGTTGAGTAATCGTTTCAACCTCGTCTTGGAGATCGTTCAACAATATTCACTTCACCATCGGCAAATAAATATTAAATGTACAGTACTGTGCAAAAGTAACGCAAGAGAAGTGCGCGAATTTCTCTTTTTGTTCAAGTGAAGGTTCGAGTGACAATTTGAGGTTTTTTTAGCAAAAGTTCCGTTGAACAAAGATGGCTATTTCGTCTAATTTTTCCTTTGAAACAAAAAAATTATTGAAATTTCGTGATGAAAAGCGTCAGTTTACTACTTGGATAGACAAGAATCTGAAGATTCTGAAGAAGGGATCAACTGTGCCTCGTTCGAAGGTGATGCTGAATCTAAAATTTAATGATCAATACCCATAATTAAGTACTGGTTGTAAATGACAGTCAGCGACTAGTGTCACCGCAAAAGACAACATGCGAGGCTTGTGAAGCTTAGCAACAAATTAAACCAACATTAAAAACCTTCGTGTTTGCTGATACTTACTTTTCCTTTAAGTTTTTCATTCATGTACATTTTCATTTCATTTTTCATGTATCATTATGCACCCTTTAGACTTTTACAAGAGATTGTGATTTATAACTTGTGATTTATTATTTTCATGTACATTTTCATTTCATTTTTCATGTATCATTATGCACCCTCTAGACTTTTACAAGAGGTTGTGATTTATAACCAGGCGAAATGTATGAGCGATGAAATAAACTGACATAATTTGATTTAAATTTTTAGACAAACCTGAAGGTGTGAGGCTCACTACCAATGCTGCACAAAATACCGTCACTGAAGGAGCCGCTGTTACATTCAAGTGCATAGTTATGGCTGCTGTGCCACAAGTGTCAATTTACAAGTTCTATTTCAATGGCAGCCTCCTAAGCGAGAACAGCAACAGTGAGTATACTCTCAATAACGTCAATCGATCTCAGCACTATGGCGAGTACAAATGTGTCCCACATAATGACGTTGGAGATGGGGCAAAAGCCACTGTGAGACTTAACATAAAGGGTGAGTAGAAACATTTGAGCATTTTTAAGAGCTAATGTCAACATGCATCAGACAAACAGCGGCAAGTCACCCAAATTCGTTTTCTCTCCTACCTTCATATTTTTGTAGCCCGATATGTCCGAATAATTGTGGTGTAGTTTTTTTGTGAAAATATATTTCATTTTTCGAGAAATGATATTTTTTTCACAACTCGGGTAATATTCAGGGTGAACATTTGCATATTTGAGCGGCTGAACGAAAAATATCATTTCTCGAAAAATGAAATATATTTTCACAAAAAAACTATACCACAATTATTAGGACATATTGGGCTACAAAATATGAAAGTAGGAGAGAAAACGAATTTTGGTCGACTTGCCACAATATTTCAAATTTGTTCGATGGATGCTGACATCCTCTCTTAAGTACTTTTGATTTATAATCCAAAACAGGAAATATGTTTTATAACAGTTTACATTGCGTCAGTAAAACTTCCCACACAATGAACCATTACAACCCCTGAATAGGGAGGGATAAAGACCCTGGTAATGAGGTTGACGTGTTGTGCGTGACGATCGACACATGTGCTAGTTAGCAGTATTTTCAGGCAGATGTTGTTGATGTTCCTGATGTTTTGAACAGAATTTCGAGGATAGGGAATGTTTTCTTCAGATGTAGTGTATGATGTCAGTATCAGTTGAATTGATATGTTGTCAAAATGAATTAAAATATTGGTCTGCGAAAATGAGCCAAAATTTAAAAAAACCACAATGAACAACCTCGAGTCAAGATATCACCAGTCAATTATATGCTGCCTTCAATCCTAATAAGCCTGGGAAACTGCAAGTGGTGTTTGACTGCACAAACCGATACAAAGGGACATCGCTCAACGACCAATCACTCAGTGGTCCAGACTTGACTAACAGCCCGCTTGGTGTCGTCTTAAGAATTCTTCAGGAACCAGTACCTCTCTCCTCAGGCATTGAAGCCATATTCCATCAAGTAATGGTTGATCCAAACGATGGTGATACCTTGAGGTTCCTTTGGTGGCCTGACGATGACTTATCTAAGGAGCCTGTTGAGTACACCTTTTTGGTGGCACGTCTTCACCAAGTTGGAAAAATTTTGGTCTTCGAAAGGCGGCTCAATGAAGTGATCAACACAGTATTGAAGAACTTTTAGGTGGATGACTGTTTTAAATCGGTGTAACCAAAGAACTCGCCAGTAAATTGAGAGAAGATTTGTGTGTCCTATTGTCAAGAGGTGGATTTCAATTGGCTAAATGCTTGTGTAACAGGAGGCAAGTCCTCAAAACCATTCCAACCTCAGACAGAGCTTCATCAATTTTGGATTTGTGTTCAAATTCTTGTGTGCTTCCTATTGAAGTAACCCTTGGTGTTCGGTGCAACATGGATAGCGACATGTTTACTTTCAAGATGGTACTAAAGGATTAGGCCTTCACACGAAGAGGGATTCTATCAGTGACTAGCTCCATTTATGATCCACTTGGCATAGTATCGCCAATCACCTTACTCGCTAAAAAGCTCCTTCAAGATCTCTGCAAACAAGTACTCACCTGGGATGAAGAGATAGTGGGAAAGTAATGTCAGTTTTGGAGACGATGGCTATGTGATGTACCTATGCTTATAAGAGTTGCCTTACCAATATGTTTGAAAACAATCGACTTTGGCTGGGTACAAAATGCAGAGCTTTCACCACTTCGCAGATGCCTCTCAGATTGCTTATGGGACTGTCTCATATGCAAAACTCGTCCTTGAAAATGGCCGCACCCACTGCAGTCTCCTCGCTGGGAAATCTCGCTTGGCTCACGTGGAACAGATGACTATACCCAGATTGGAATTGTCAGCTGCTGTTTTAGCTGTCAGAATGAATCAGAAGTTCAACACAGTGTTAGGGTTAGTCTCCAGAGCTGTCCTCCAATATATCACGAGCAAAGAGACAAACGATTCTACATGTTTGTGGCCAATTGCCTGACAGTGATACATGATGGCTCAGAACCTTCCCAGTAGAACTTTGTGCCAACAAGCATCAACCTAGCTGACGATGCCAGCAGAGAACTAACGGTAAAGGAGTTATTAAAGAGGGAGGTTTGGTTCAGAGGCCCTAAGTTTCTTTAGGAAAGTGAAACATCGTAGCCCACCTATCCAGTCTCTTTAGTCAGACCGAGCGGTCAGGGTCAAGCTCGAACAAAGCATGTTACTCTCATAGAAGGGACCTCATGAAGGACCACTGAACCTAATGGTTCTTCAATATTCGTCATGGTTTAAGCTTAAGAAGGGAGTTGCTCGGCGTCTGAGATTTTAAAAAATTCCTTAAGAGCAAGAGGTACTTACAAGAGGATCCTGTTGATCCATTACCTTGTGGACGGCTGTCGATGGACGAATTACGACATGCAGAGGCTCAAATCATCACATACGTGTAAAAATTAGCTTTCTCGCCAGTGTTTAATGCCCTCCCAGACTTTAGCCCAGGCGAATCTGAGAAGCGTAAATTGAAGATTATTGGCTCATTTGGTTCAGTTTACAAATTGAGACCATTTCTGGATGGAGCGGGAATATTGAGAGTCGGTGGTCGGCTTCAAAATTCTTCATCAGATTACCAATCGAGGCATCAATTGCTGTCACCTTCAAAGCACCATGTTACCAAACTGCTCATTATAGATGTTCATTACTCTGTGGGTCATCTAGGTCAAGAATATGTCCAGACCAGTTTGAGAAAAAAGTACTGGATCTTTAAGGGACGGGCTGCTCTTTGAAGAGTACTCAGTAACTGTTTAACATGCCAGAAACAAAATGCTGCAAAGGGCCAACAATTGATGTTAGGTTTACCTGGCAACAAGCTTATTCCAGATAAACCCCTGTTTTCTAACGTTGGCATAGATTCGTTTGGCCCACTGTATGTGAAGCAAGGCAGAAGTACAGTTAAAAGCTATGGTGTCTTTTCTCTTGCTTAACTATCCGAGCAATCCACATTGAAGTGACCGAGTCTCTGGAAACAGAATCGTTTATTCGCGCTCTATGCAGATTCATCAGCAGAAGAGGGACGCCAAAAATGATAAGAGGTAACAATGGTATGAACTTAAGTAGCGGAGAGAGAGAAATCCCTGAAGCCCTGAACAACTGGAATCAGCAGAAGGTAGAAGTTTTCCTTCATCAGTAGAACATCAAGAGGAAGTTTAATTTCCCTGAAGTATCACACATGGGAGGAGTCTGGGAACGCATGATTCGTTTAGTGAGAAAGATCTTAAGAGCCCTTTTTAAGCAACAATTGGTTTTGGAGACGCACTGCCAACGTTGATGGCAGGAGTTGATGGAATTCTCAATGGTTGACCATTGACTCTTAACAATGGCATGCAGTCCTATTGATTCACCATCTTCGACTAATGACCATTTGTTACTTCGATGGCATTTAAATTTGCCACCAGGAGTCTTCGTTAAGAATGATTTGTACTGCCATCGTCGCTGGAAGCTGGTTCAATACCTTCCTGGCGTATTTTCGAGGAGATGGTTTTCGTAATATCTGTTAAATTTGCAAGGACGGCAGAAATGGATCAGACCACGTCATAGTTTTGCTGTTGGTAACCTGGTTTTAATTCCTGATGAAAGAGTTCACCCCAGTCGGCGGCCTTTGGGTCACGTTCTCGAAGGTCACCCAGGAAGGGATGGATTTATCCGATCCGATGGCCCAATACTTAAAGTAAAACTAAGGGGTTGGAATGTAGCAACTAGAATTTGAATTTCTGTCTATTGTCAAGTAACTGCGGAAATATTTTATATTGTTTTTATATATTTTTTTTTGAACTACTATTGTGATGTTCTGTTTCGATTCAATTAAGCCCGCTTTTTTGCATGAGTTTGTGTAAGAATTACGTAGTGCTGGTAGCACTTTATTTCTCGCTAGTACAAGCTTTGTTTTAGTTACATACTTTTCATTACTAGTTAATTTCAGATAAGTCAGTCTTTTCGTTAATTTTTGCTAGCGCCGTGTTACTTTTGTTTCATTACCAGACCTGATTACGCCACAAATTGTAGGTTCGTTTCTTTCTTATGTAGCTCTGTCGTTAGTCTTGTTGTTATATGTGTACCTAGATATTTGTATTAGTATTCTATGTTCTATTGAGTTTAACACTAAAAAGGTCAGTTTTGCTCTAAGATTTTATGGACCTCTCTGTAGTTCTCTAACATTTTGGGTACTTTTTAGTGATAGTGTTGACAATGATAATAATTATAATGATGATGATAGTGATAATAATATCAGTGATAATAATATCAATGATAATAATGTTGGTGACGATGATATGAATAATAATAACAGTTCTAGGAAGTATAGTCTATCATACCCTGAACCTCCGTGAATTACTTAAGCTAACGTATTTTTATTATCATGTGATTTGAGGTTGGTATGATGATGACATAAAATTTAAAATTGCTTGTCGATCATTTTAAAACGTATTTTGTTTTTTCCCAGTTCAAACAGTTTCAAGTACAGTTGCCACCTCATCCCAAACAACTCCCGCAGGTAAATGTTCTTTATAGGCGTTTTCTTTTTTTATTACATGTAAAACTATGTAATCATAATAGCATGTTCTTTAGTGTTACAAAATGAGTTTGAGTAAAAGAAAAAGAGTGAATTAGGTCACTGAAGGCCTGGAACTTAGCGAAGGACTGTAGACTCACAAACAGTCATAACAATGTTCAAGCTGAATTATTGTTAGATAGAACCACTTCTTGGCAGTTTTTGTGAACCAAGGCTCTTCATGTTTTTCGTAAATGTAAAAGGACACGGCTTTTCTTCAGCTTCAGAAAGCACAGAAGTTTACCTGACAGCGACAGTACAGGGGAACTGTAGCACACGTTCAGAAGTTGCTGCGAAATTTCCAGAAATGGTTAGATAATCTACTTGATCTGTGTACCGTAGTGTATAGAATACTGCCATGATATTTATCATTAAAAGGGAATCTTAATCAATCTATTGTTGACCGAAATCTCAATATTTCTGTTAAAACAAAATGACATTTTGAACGATCTTCAATTACGAAACAAGTATTCAAATTTACATTTTTTCTTTAAATGTGCTTTTAGGCTTGTCAAATTTCCTTTAAGTTTGGCTGCTCATCCGCCAACACCGTGAACACCAGGTAAGGTGCAGTTTGTCTCAACACTGAAACAACAAACGCTAACGCAAATCTGTGTTCTGGGGCGGAGAGGAGCTTTATCTCAGTTTGGCGTATTTTAGTGTTAAAATTGATGTTTCTGCTCTAAAAATCTTAGTTAATGCAAAATAATCTACATTGAAGTACATTTTATTTAATGTACAGCAACAGATTGACACAGAATGACATGAATTAATTTTATTTACCTTGGTTTATTAGATCAAAAATACTCTTTTGGTTAAATCTCAATTTATTTTAACACTTGAAAGTCACCAAAGTACAAATAGAATGCCGAATAGAGAACCGTGCCGTAAAGAGCACAATGCATAAATTATGACTGATTATGCAATTGAAGCCGTGTGGTTACTCAATTGTCACGCAAGATGCGCCTTCGTCGAATTGCTCTCGCTGTAAACTCTGTCCTTTCGGTAACATACTTTGTTTGGCGCTGGATTCTTTCTAATCTTTAGGCTACTCATTTATAATAAGTCAAAACAGACCACAAGACGCCTATATCCCCAAGTGTAACGTTGCGTAACTTAAGTACTGCGGTTCTCCTAACTCATAACCTGTTTAACTATTTCTCAAGTAACGTTATTTAAATTAAGGTAGCGACAATTTTTTTCACAGAGCAAAGACAGAAACAAGGTCCTATAATGAAAATGTTATTTATTGTAACAAATGGCTTTGTATTGTAATCGTAATAAGCTTTCAAGGGAGAGAAACAAATATTTGGAATAGGAAATGTAGTTATATTCTCCAAAGGTGACAAATGTTTGAATAGGTGAAGAATGTAAAAGCGGATGAAGAAACTACTTGCAAACCTAAATGAACTCTTCCCACGATTTCATTTTGTTTAATGCAGACTGTATAGTCACTCATAACTTATGCGTCTTACTCTTTTCGGCACGGTGTTCGATTCGGCATTTTACATCCTTCCCCCTTACCTAGGTGTGGTAGTGTTGTTCTCGACTTCATGATGAGGTTCAATCGAAGTGTAGTCGTCAGCAATGTTTTGACTGTCCTGTTCGATGCTGCAAGGCAAGAGAAATTCGGAGGTTTCAAAGTCGATCCAGAATCAATTAAACAAGTTTTTATAACCACAGACGGCTCGGAAAGCACAACAAAAAGTATGTTTTACAAAGAAATATTATTGTTAAGTGTTTACACGTATTCGTCCGAAGATGGACATTTTTAATTGTATTCCGTATCTGTTTAATTAAACAAGTCATTTCTGTGAGTCATATATTTCCAAGTTTTATTTTCGTCGCTGTTGTTGTTTTTATTAAATTAAACAAAATCTTACTTTTAAAAATTATTATAGAGAGAGTAGCACCTTGCTTTTCCTTAGTACCTAGCCAGTTCGAGTGAACGGTTTTCGTTCTAGAGCATAAGCTATGTAGTGAGAGCAGTGTATTGACCACGATCACTGTAAATGTTGTTTGAATGTTATCTGATCAAGCTTTGTAAACTGAATCATTTTAGGTCCTGAGGAATGTAACTGCCCTTCTAACAACGTCTCGTTAGCCATAAATGGGGTTCTTGCCTTCACAATCGTTCTTCTAATTATTTACATAATCTGGCTACATAAGAAAGGTAGGTAAAAAATTCATAATCTATGATAGAGGGTTTGGCTGCAAGATTCATTATTAAGCAAAAGCAACTCTTGACCTACATCCACATCATTTGTTTTTTTTTTTTCCTTTCGTTCTTTTCAGGCGCTGTAGGGAAACAGAGGTAAGAATTTGGCACTTGGATTGTGTCGATGTAATGTTCCAGATATGGTATCATCGTATAACAAACTTCCACTTAAACTGATTCTTTCCTCAAAATAAATATTTTTATGCTTTCTCAATTGTAGGACTTATGAAGATGAAAGAGGTGTTTCCTACGTAAGTTACAGCTAAGACATTGAGATCATGTTAGTGTGGCCAGTAATTATGTAATCTCACTTTACCTCTACTCTCTAGAAGGAAATAAACGCTTGCAACAAATAGGAAGGAAAAAGGTGTAGTTCTGCCAAAAAGGCATAATGCATTAATGACAGGCACAATAAAATATGGAAAGAAGTTTGACTCGATAGGATCTTTGTCCTGGGATCATGTCCTTTACCAAGCTGCTCCATCGATTTTCCTTCGGTTGTCCCTGGTTCAACTGCGTGGTTTCACTTCATAGATCGCAAACTGGTCTACACCCGGTTGATATTTGTTTTGTAAATGATTTTTTTTTCACGCCGTTTTGGCCGTCTCTTTATCTTGATGCCTTATTTTCCAAGCGTTAGTCCAGGAGCTTAGTACAGCAAGAGTTTTTTTTTCGTGTGTGCATTTGTCAAAACATCGCACTACCAATCGACGATCTTCATGTTGCGGTTTGTAGCTTCAACGAATATGCTATGAACCTCGATCACTGCATTGGACATGATAGTTTCAATGGCAGAGAACAAAGTGTTAGTAATAATAAATATTAGTAATATTTAAGGACAAGAGATTATAAACTATTAATAATCTCTTGTTATGAAATAATATAAACGCTTGTCTGATGAAAACGGGTAAACTGATTTTTATGAAAACGTAGGAAATTTTATTGGGATTAATAACAGATTTGTATATGAATACCTTAACGGTATGTTGGTTTAATAGAATGAAACAGGATTAGAAGATAGCGAACCAAGTCTGCCCGATTCAGCAAAACTCACCCAGCCTCCTGCGGAATATATGGATCTCATAGAAGTCAACAAACATGATAGAAAAGCACAAAGTACCGCTTCAGGTGCTGATTACGTGCCTCTTCATCCGTTAACACGCTGCTGGGAAGTTTCAAGACACCACGTGACCATAGAAAAAATTATTGGTAAAGGTGCTTTTGGTCAGGTTGCCAAGGGAACAGCAATAGGACTTCGAGGGAGTCCTGAAACGACCACAGTGGCTATTAAGATGCTTAAAAGTGAGTTCTTGAACTGTAAATTGAATGAGAGTCTTGGCCTACAGTCATATACTGTTACCGGGTTACCGTAACTTTTTAGCTATTTGTGATTGGATAAGTTATGTCGCTATTTCAACATTTTGCATATTATTCCCGTAAACCAAATTTTACTCCTTGTTTTAACGCTCCAGAAAACGCTACTGAATCGGACAAGAGAGATTTGATGAAAGAACTTGACACAATGAAGCAGCTGAAACCACATCCTTACGTCATTAAACTTCTGGGATGCGTTACAGAATCTGGTAAGCTTTGATTATGAGGTCTAATTTTGCTGTACACATTTTGCATCTGATTTACTCTGTAGCGCTTTCTCGTCATTGATAATTTGCTTCAGTGGAAGATTCACTGCTTCACAATTGCGCACAACAAACAACGCATATGGTAATTTTATCCTTTTTTAGCTAACAGCGACGCTCTTGGATTTGCTGATAGACGAAGACCAAATATTTGCCATTGTACAAGCCATCCTGTTGTATAAGCAGAATCGCTTTTTCTAAGGGAATATTTGATCTGTACCTTCTTATGAGATCGTTACAAAGTTTTCCAGCTTTTCATCGTAAAACTACATCTTGTTTTCGTGCGATTTCTTCAAATGTATTGACCCTGACTGCTATTTATTTTTTTTACTTATTGCTAATTTTTTTAGAGAGAGAAATATCTAAATGAAACTGTTTAATTTCCTCAGAACAGCTGCTGGTTTTGATTGAATATGTGCCTTTTGGGGATCTGCTGGGTTACCTGAGAAAGAGCCGTGGATTAAAAGACACTTACTTCCAAGACCCGGAAGTCAAACCACAAACAAATCTGACGTCACAGCAGCTGATGAAGTTTGTTTTGGCAAATTGCTGATGGAATGAGTTATTTGTCCTCAAAATCTGTAAGTTAATTAAAAAGGCACCAAAGAAAAACAATTCTAAAACCTTCTTGTAAGATGTATCGTCATGTTAAGCTATGTCTTGCATAGAAAAATACGTCTTCACAAGATCACGCCCAGGATATGCAAACGTATTCTTACCGTCTTGTTGAGGCTATTTCTTTAGGGCCAGGAACCCTACCAATGCTGACGTCATCACCTAAGTTATATTTCAGTGTGCGAATGGCGATATTTGTGCATCTTTGCAAGTGTACCTCATCGAAATAAAATATCTGGGTTTTTCTCGTGTAGGCAAAGGCAGAGACGTGAATGAATAGGATCTTTAATTCAGCCTAAACTGAGTGTACAACGAATATTCATTTTAGTGACAAAGTCGTCTTTGGTTGCTAAAATGCTACATTACAGAACCCTACTTCGAATAAAATCTTCAGATAAGCTTTCTATGTAATAATTATGAATTGCAGAAATAAAGTGGTTTGCTTCTCTTTGGAATATGGAACAGCGATTATAGTAATTTTAATTTTCTGCCATCTGGAATACAGAGAAATACACACACCATATTATGTCGCTGGATATTTCTATTTTCCTATCTGAACCATTTAATTTCAGTTCTTTTTCTTCTGGAATCGCTAATTTTTGCTCTCGGATCAATGCTTTCTTAGATCATTCACCGAGACCTTGCGGCTCGTAATGTGTTGGTTGGACATAAGGAAACTTGTAAAGTGACAGACTTCGGAATGGCAAGAGATGTGCAGCAGGAAAATATTTATGAACGAAAGACTAAGGTATTCAAGAAAGAGGGGAGGTGGGGGCGGTACTACATATCGTTCAGTTTAGTGATCTTTCACAATCATTGTACTCCTGATTTCGATGACAAAATCCTTGGACGGGACCGTAATAAAAATATTAGCCTTGCGTATACGAGTATAATTTTAAATATCACTGTCTTTGACCGGTCGCTTCCTATAATTTTTTTAGCTGTTTCACAAAGTGATATTTGAAATCTTTAGGGCCGTCTTCCCGTGAAGTGGACAGCTTATGAGGCCTTGATGTATGGTAAATATACCACGAAAAGTGATGTGTAAGTATACCCGATTATTACCCGTAGCAATTTTCCAACAAGTTTCACCAATAGAATAAGAGAGAGGGTAAGTTTTGGGCTCGGTAATGAAATAGAGAAAGATGTTTTTCATCCTCTCACGAGCGTTGGACAATGAAAAAATTCTTGACTCCCCATGAGGAATCGCACCTCAGACCATCGGATTCCGCGCTCCGATGGTCATACCACTGAGCCACAGAGACTCTTCAGTGAGTGAGGTTTATTACTAAGTTCATATGACACGCGTCCTGCATACTGCAAGGATCAGCAATGTCGATATAGAGTCATGTTTGTACATAAAAATAAGAGAAAGAATCGGAGCGCGGAATCCGAAGGTCTGAGGTTCAATTCCTCGTTGGGAGTCAAAATTTTTTCTTTGTCCCACACTCGTGACAAGACGAAAAAAATCTTTCTCTAAGTGTTATAAATTTTAACTAGGGCATGAATTCTATGCTTTGTCAAAGAGTACATGTATTTTAATTGTCGTATATAATGTTAATGTCTTCAGTCACCCAATATATATTTGTTTGATTTGTCTTTCCGCAGATGGAGTTACGGAGTTTTGCTGTACGAGATTTTCACCATAGGTAACATCGAATGAAAATTTATAAGGCCCTGTAGATGTTTTTTGCTATATACCATGTTTAATTAAGCAATTTAACGTGTTCAGTTAGACAAACGTAATGAGCTTCAAACTACATCAAATGATCTGGGTGGCGTTTCAGTGAAGGTCGTTTTTTCGTCACATTTATATTTCGATGGTCTTATGGTTCTTCCAGGTGGTTCACCTTACCCACGAATGGATGGAAGAAAAATTGCAAACTTACTTCAGGATGGATACAGGATGCCTAAACCACAACACGTCGATGAAGAATTGTAGGTGTTTTTTCAATTCGTTCTCTCTCACCCTACAAGGAAGCGTTCTTTAAATCTCTAACAGATCATTTGAACAATACCAGGTATCAGATTATGATGAAATGCTGGAAGAATGACCTGGATGCAAGACCAACTTTTACTGAATTGAAAAATCAGCTTAAGGACATGGAAACCCTACACAAGGTGAGAATTTTGATCAACATGAAAGTTTCTTTTCACGTTTGACCGACTGGCTTAGGCTCAGCTAATTAGGGTTTTAAACATATTAGCGTTTAGCTTAGATAGCGTGATTTTTACGAAGTTTGGATTGCATCTTCTTGTTATGTCACTGAAGCTAGCACTCCACGAAAAACGGGGAAGAAGCGAACTAGAATGCCCCTGCTACAATTGACTCATTATGGTTATTTAAAAGATGGTAGGATTATTGCAAAACTGCACTGAGACGCGCAAAAGAGTAGCAGACGACGACGCCATAAAATACTTTATTGAATTTGTTTTGGTGTGAAAAGCTGACCACTTGTGAGGATAACGCTTATAAGAGGAACACTTTTTTAATGATGCTGATTATTATATTATTCTTTTCTGCAGAAGCTGATCAACATGACAATGTACGACAAGCAGTTGTATGCAAACGTCGAGGATTTAATAGTGTAGTTAGATAGATTTCCGCGGTAAATGACTGGCTTACAGTTTGAACACTTTGCCTCAGCAAGTTTCAGGGATGAATCATCTTTGCCTTACACGCTTACTTGGTAGAAAAAGCCATTTTGTATTCAGAAATTAGGCTGGAACGTTATGACTCAATTGATTTTATATTCTTAAACGCTGTAACGCTGTTATCAGTTTACTGATAAAGTATACTCTCATGTTCTCTTTAACATGTTTAGCACTTACACGCATGCTCGACACAAGCGTTTGAATTCAGTTTATTTCCTGGCTCAATTCTGAAAGGCAGGACAGCGCAAAAAAAAAGCTAGTTAACTAGATTGATGAGATCTAGCTCAGATTGCCATAGTTGTCTACAGTTTTAGTAAATTGCTGAAAAATTGTTTTGCCGCAAAACCCGCTCGATTTTAGGAAAGCTATCCGGCGCATAATCTGCTTTCCCTAAGACCGCATTTACCTGCGATACCAACTCGAAATACTTTTACACTGAAAGTATTATTAATTAAAAATTAACGTTATCCTAATAGAAAAATTATACTTGGCACATTACTTGAGCAATCGTCTTAGCTTTGAATCAAAGTGCTCTGTGAGCAAACTCGTGAATTGACAGATGACTTACATAATTTTTTGGATTATGTTTAAGGTTATCTGGCTTAGGGAATTTTGTGGTTGATTGTCATATTTAGAGTACGAGCAGTAGTTCAGTGTTCGCTAATGTAGCAAATCAAATCACTTTGGTCGACAGAAAAATATTGGTTTCAGAATTAATTTGTATAAGCAATAGTGTCAATTACGTTAGTTGGCAAGCGGCCTTAAAACCGTCTGCAGTTAATTTTAATCGTTCACAAAAAGTACATTGAAAGTTAAAACGTGAAGTATTTGGTTACAGTTAAACTGAACGATGTAACTTTTATTCATTTAATATCTGAATTTTCTCAAACGATTTGTTCGTAGTAAAAGAGCGAGCGAAGTTTTAGTTTAAGTTCTACAACAAATTTACGCTCTCGGTGAGTCTTTCCGAGTCCGTTCAATTTGGACATTTGTACCGTAAATTGCACAATAGAAACTGAGGGAATTTAATGAATAAAGGCCGCATTAAATCCCCGTTTGTTTCGTTAGAGTGTACCATTCTAATTTAGTTTTCGTGGAGGAAAGACCAGATTTACACACGCCATTGCAGCAAACAAACGAACAAACTCTCACAACTTCAAAATAAAAAAATTGAGTTTACTCGCATTTTTTCCTCGCCGTTTACTTAATGAACAGAGATAAATCTTCGTTCATGAATGAATCGTCGATAAGAGTGAATAATACTCTCCGTTAGACATTGACTGTTTTTGAACTAAACATTGTCGTGACAGTCCTAGCCAAACTAGTTCCGTTGTTTTTCAAATGTTCTTGCGTTTTTTTTCTCTTATGCTCTCCCTAATTGACAGGTGTCAGATTGTGACAGATACTTGTAAAAATAATGTTTCAAAGTTTGTTTGGAAGCCTTTTAAATCACCTTTATCGTTACGGAAATGAAAATGTTTCGGTGAGTCATCTCTCTTTAATTTGCTTCACCTCCATTTTAACTACCATATACTCGCTCAAAAAATTGTTTAGTTTAGGAAAGATCTTGCCATATTTACAGCCCTAAATCATTCGGGTTCTTTCGGAAAGAATTTCGTCAAGTTTAAAAAAAATAAATATGTTATGTACCGGCTAAGGGTCGGTCCGTATTGTGAAAAACTGTGACCTCGGTCTTAAAATGCTTTTCACCATACGGACCTCCCAGCCGGCAAATAACATACATATATCATTTGTGTTTCTGGTTCAAAATAAAAGGTTAGAAGTAAATGTGGGTGAAAAGCGAAATTTACTGTCTATCATTATAAATATTGGAAAATCAAGGCAATACTGTCTTAATGAAAACATTAATGATTCCCTCTTTATCAAATGAGACAAACAGGAACGAGTTTTGAGTGACATATCTAAGCCAAGACATTTTGGACGTGCTAGGCAACGTATACTCAAGAACAAGATAGAATTTCATTTCAGGCCTATTTATCCATTTTGTGGTGAATAAGTTTCGCATTTTGGTACGTAATATCTATTTAGAATCTTCAAATTGCCTTGAAACTTGGAAGAAAATTGTTCTTTAAACATTCACTGGAAATCAGTAGCCAAAATTATTTGTTTAGGTGTTATTTAATTTTCGTGTTAACCTGTAATTTCGTTACTCGCCAGCACCTTTTGTTGCTTCAGACAGGAAAAACACACAATACGAAATACAATGATCGATTTTGTCCCCAATCTCACGTTATAACAGAAAAAGCTTTTGAACACTTGTAA